CATGAATTGGCAAGCCGGCGAGCTCGAGCTCTCTCCAAGGTGGCTGGCGAACATTACATACACCAAAGGTATAAAATAGTAAGCAACATTGGTCAGAATCATGGGCAATGCGAAGAGAATCTGATCTTTTGCCTCATCCACATTGATAATCTTGCTCCCCCACCTCTCCGCCACATTGTTTACCAATAATGAACTGGTCTCCACCTCTACACCGTAGGAAGACATTTTCACGGTTTCACCTACCCACTTGCCCAATTTCCTCATTCCTCATTAGTCGTCTTCAGATTTGAAACCTAATAAAACTCGAAAAGTTGCTACTAGTATGTATTTTTAATTAAATAATGGGCAGTATGTAAGTGTTATACCCCAGATTCAATCAATTTTGGACATAAATACTTTTAATATATAATTAATGTGATTTAATGGCAAATATATTATTTAATTAATAGACAATTAAATTAAATAATAGAATCCGTAGATTCAAATCTTCGTAATTTGTTAATCACAAGGAGTTGTGATTGTGAGATGCAAATTACATATGATTGAATCTTAAATCGTCCATGGTTGTAAGTAATAACGAGATACGGATATCATTATTACGAATAGAACATTACGTGTGGCATTTTTTACTTGTGAAATAAGTAGCTGATCTTACAAGCTAAGTATGGTGACATTTGAATGAACACGTGGATGTTTTGGGGCAGCCACGGACGTAGTGATTGGCTTTCTAGCAGTTCTTGCAGTTGTAGTACGAGAGTCAACGACGGTTACATGGAATATTATTCTTCCTGAGGGCGGTGCAGCTAATCTACCACGAATTGTATAACTGGCGGCGAGCAGTTTCAACTCCATCATCAGTTCCTCCACGTCGTGGTCCATTGAGTCATGGCCATATCTTCGGGGATGAGGGCAGCGTACAACAAGTCATTGGTGAAGGAGGATTGCGCCGCCATGACCATGGCGGAGACTACGGCCAAGAGTTATTTTACTAAATATTTGTTATTAAGTAGGATTACTACTTTGGTATT